GTCTCGTCAATGGAAGGTCCAGCTCAAGCCTGGAGTCGGAGGACAACCCACCTTCTGCCACTGCATCAGATTTACCTGAGGAAGACTTGGAGGAGGAAGGCTCTGAGGATGTGAGGACTCACTCTAGGTAGGTGTATTAAGAATGTGCTTTATATTGAAGGTATGGCGAGTTTTACTTGATTAAGAATAAGGCTTTACATATTTACCCACCTAGCTCCCTTTGGACAGTTTTGTGGTTGCTCAAAATACTTACCATTACTGCTATACAGAAGTGACTTGAAAATAATCCACTGTCTATATTGCAGGAACCTGAGTGTAGCGTTTGCAGGGGAGAGTGGCCCAGTGAGATATGATAAACTGAGTCCGGCAGAAGTGCGTGATTTGCTGCTGTGCTTCCTGCATACCCTTAAGCACGTACCAGAAGCGCATCTTGTGTCGTGGTGGGCTACAATCAGTGTTGAGGCACTGGAGAAGTTTTTCACCCTCCTTCAGTAAGTGGACTTCATTGTCATGTATTTGCCTAATGGTTGAAGAATACATAATGAATTAAGATATGTAAATGGGACAAAGGTAGTTGATAATATTTATCTTACATGATTCCCTGCTACTCGATACATTTTTTGTTACATATTTTTTTATATGTATTTCCTCTACACAGACTTTCACTACATCACTTCAAATATAGTGGCAAAAGACAAATTGTGCGAGAGCAAGCCCCAAAGAGGGCCTCAACCCTACCAGCCAAGTTCCAGCCTCCAAACATCGGCCATAGAGTGTCAACTGCAACTGATAGCTATAGTGGTAAGAGGGTTTAACCAAATAAAGGATACTGATGTTGGCAATGATCACACAATTTGAAAATAGATATTAAATTGATATGTTATTGAATGAATAATGATTAAGTGATAAGTAATAAGGATGTAAATACATTGAAATTTTTGTCAGTTTTTCTTTTTCACTGTTTTACCTAGTGATGCCTGGATGCTATGTACATATATGCTAAATGCAATGTGAATTTAGTTTACCAGTGTTGGCACCACAAAATCTTAGTCACCAAGGAGTCAGGTACTAGTCCTACATGATGTCATCTAATTACTGTGTCCCTTGATTTTTTAAAAGAATTTTATTGCTTATTTTACTAATATAAGTATCTTTGATAACATTTTGATAATCACAATTCAAAAGATGATGATGATAATGATAATAATAATAATTTAATTTTTAATTTTAATTTAATTTTAATTCTAATTTTATTTTTAATTTTAATTAATTAATTATAGTAACAATAATGATAGCAGTCATGACTTTGATACTGTTAGAAGATAAAACCTTGTCAAAAAAATTCAGGGAAAGAAAATTTGGGGAAGTAAAGTAGGCCTGCTAATTGACTTGGTGCCTAACCACCTGTAGAGTCATCAATGTGTAAACCTAATTCACAAATAAAACTAATGTGGATAGTGCAATTACCCGGTGCCAATGGATTAATACCATTATGTAGGTATCATATTTTTCCTCCTTTTTACATTTTAGTGAGCAGCCATGAAGGTGAGGGCTGGCTTAAAGCACTGCAGGAGGCCAACCTAGCAACAGAAGTGGGCCTCATTATCCTGGATGTGCTTGGCAACTTCACCACACACTGCCGTGACATTCTAACTTCTGACGGGGCTGAGGCCATCATGCAACAGGTGTTTTCCTTGCATCTGCTGTACTTGCAGCTGGGCCAGTCGGAAACCCTGATGAAGCATGTGTTTGCATCCCTCAGAGCCTTCATCAACAATTTCCCGCGGACGTTATTCCAAGGTGAGAGAATGTTCTATGAAGTGTATTAGGTGAAGCTAACAGGAATGAGAAAGAGAAAAAAATCACTACTTCTTTCACTGGTACAATTTCTTTCACATCAGGTGATGCATCTCTTTGTGGATCGCTCTGCTTTGAGATGCTGAAGTGCTGCAACAGCAAGCTGACCAACTTGCGTCATGAGGCGTGTGCTGTGCTCTACCTCCTTATGAGGAGTAACTACGAATTCACTCGAAGGACGGGAATTAATAGGGTGCATCTACAGGTAGGGGGGTGGTCTTACATTTAGATTTAAGGAGGAAATGATGAAAGGGTATATGTGTGTGTGGATGTGTGCATGCATATGTGGTGTGATGTGATGTGATGCAATGTGCTTTGTTGTTTTTCCTGTGTTTTTTGTGTGTTTGTGTGTATTATATACATATATGTGTATGTGTGTATGTGTATATGTATATATGTATATATATATATATTATATATTATATGTATACATACATACATATATGTGTATATATAATACATATGTGTGTGTGTGTGTGTGTGTGTGTGTGTGTGTGTGTGTGTGTGTGTGTGTGTGTGTGTGTGTGTGTGTGTGTGTGTGTGTGTGCGCTTATACACACACACACACACACACACACACACACATATTATATGTATACATACATACATATATGTGTATATATAAAATATATATGTGTGTGTGTGTGTGTGTGTGTGTGTGTGTGTGTGTGTGTGTGTGTGTGTGTGTGTGTGTGTGTGTGTGTGTGTGTGTGTGTGTGTGTGCTTATACACACCACACACACACACACACACACATATATATATATATATTATATCTACACATATATGTGGAGGGTAAATTGTTTTATAACTGAAGGGTATTTTAATTCATAGATGGACATGTATACAGATTTACAGGTGTAATGCATGTGAATTTGTACGTGTAGGGTATATGAAGTGAAGGGTATCGGAATTATATAAGGGGGGGAATATATGAATTTGAGATTGGCATATATATGAATTTATAAAGGGAGGACAATTTTAAAGTCTTAAAAATGTCAGTGGCACTTTCCATGTCTGATTACATAGGTATGTTTACCCTTCTTTCTTTATATTCCAGGTAATCATCTCTGTGTCCCAGCTGCTTGGGGAGATCATAGGGCTGAACAACTCAAGGTTCCAAGAGTCGATGGCCCTGATCAACAGCTATGCTTCGAGTGACAAGGCCATGACCAGTACAGGTTGGTATTATGGCCGATGATATAGAATCGAGGTGTGTGTGAAATGTAGGTGTAGAAGTGCCAGCTATGTAGGTATTTTAAGGATGCAATTTTCAGGGAATGATCTGTTCTTATTTCAAGAATTTTTGTGGTGTTTCTTATATGTCGATCTGTCCGCCAAACTATGTATGTATGTGTGTGTTTATGCATGTATGTATGTATGTATGTATGTATGTATGTTTGTATGTATCTCAAAAATATGAGGTATGATACTCTGCAGACTTTAATATTTTCTTCCTTTTCAGGGTTTGTAAGTGAAGTACGAGACCTGACGAAAAGAATCCGAACAGTCTTGGTGGCGACGGCGCAGATGAGAGAACATGAGCGTGACCCGGAGATGCTGTGCGACCTGCAATACTCTCTGGCTGCCTCCTATGCGGCCACTCCTGAACTGCGCACCACGTGGCTCCAGGCCATGGCCAAGCACCACATCAAGAACGGGGATCTGTCTGAGGTTTGTCCTGTGAGGTTTGCGTAGGAGGAGGTTGTCGTACAAAGTTTTCTCTCAGTTTGTCCATCTTAGAAGGTTTGCCTGGGGTTTTCTTTTGTAAGAGGTTTAAATTTTTGTAATAGGTAGGTACTTTGAAAGCTGTAAAAAGGATAGTGTAAAAGCTTTTGTTTATAGTAATGTTAACTTCTTTATTATTTCATAGTATGATTTCTTTAAGAATGCTTCGAGGTTCCTGGACAGGATAAGGCAAGCATTCAACATTTATGAATTAAAGGTTAAATGACACTTGATATTCCATCCAGGCTGCCTTCTGCCAGCTTCACATAGCAGCTCTCATGGCGGAGTACCTTCGACACCAGGGCAGCTTCCCTGAGGGATGCCAGGTGTTCTCTATTATATCAGAAAATATCCCCCGAGATGAGTCAAATTTGAGGCTTGATGCAGGTAAGTGTGTGTTCCAGTATGTGTCCATTGCATTTTCACATGCACACTCACATTGTTGTTCTGTATTTTGCACGCTTACAAGCTGTAGGTTGGTTAGCGTGATGTCAGTGGTTTGCTACAGTCAGTGGGTCATTATGTGCACTTTGTTGTATTTGATAATAATTACCTGCAATAGTTTCAGTTTTCTGTTGCAGCTCAAGTCACATTCATACATCTGGCACTATAGCATAATGTATGGTGTGGTGGATATGCACACACATGCTCACATACACTATATCTTAAGGAGGCTCTTCACATTAATTGGTATACACAAAGGGGCGTGCGAAGAGAACCTGAAAAAAAGCCTTACATTCCAGTAACTATGTTGGTGCAGTAGGTTTTGTGGCTTACTCTCCATTATACAATTTAACTAAGGATGAGGCAATGGCTTTGGTCATCACTATTGGTATTTGAATCATGCACTTTTGAGTTCATATGGGGCTATATGTAGTGCACCTGTGATAGGTTTGGCAACAAATAGCATTCCATCATATATATGCTACAGTCTTTGGTTTAGGAGCTTTACAAGCCTCAGAAGCCTAGATAGAGTGCAGCAGATATTCCTGTGTGCTGAGATGAAGAGACATAGATTTGTTTCTAAATTGAACGTTAGAGCAGAGGAGGCTTAGGAAAAGAGTAAAGGGATGTTGATTTTAAAATGTATTATTTTACTTCACAAGATGGGAGGGGGTTGAATTACATGTATGTACTTACTAAATAAATGACTCATAATCTCTTGCCCGGCACATACTAGGGGGGGATTTAGCTTTTGTGATGTTAGTTAGATATCATTATCATTGTTGGCATAGTGGATCAAGAATGCTGCCCATCTATTCCTAGTGCAGAGTTGTAGGTATTACCCAGAATTTGTCAAGAAACCAGAAATTTGAATGTAAGAAGCCTTCTATCTGTGCACATTCCATTGGTCTACCTAGCCCAGTTTCAGCTACTGCCTTGAGGTAGCTTAACAGCTGGGAGGCCTTACAGGTCAAGGGAGAATCCTGTTCTGTCTGCTTATTTATTTCACACACAGAAATTTAACAGCAGAACAAGAGGGTTAAAGAGGAAGAAATGATATTGTAAGAAAGGAGGGGAAGGGATGTGGATTACCTGGATATTTATACATAGATGTAGATGATGTGCGTATTTGGTGGAACTTGGAAATTACAATTATAAAATACCACTTTTTTAATTGACATACAAAGCATATCTCCTGTATGTGCCACAGTGACAGGAAATGAAATTAAAAGATTTCTGGTATATTTAATATTACCAGGCAACATGTTCAGAGGTTAGTGTTCAAAACTTTGTTTATTTCATGGACCATTAGCTTGCACACATGTTTTTATTTGATTTTCACAAGGCTTGTATTGCACAGGTTGTGTTAAATCACTCAACATTTATGATTATTTTACCATATACTTATGTTTGCTTCTAAAGTGCTTTGCAAGCATTTGCCATATTTTCATATGAAAGTATTCCATTGAAATTCAAAATCAGAAAGAACCAAATGCTTGCATAACAAAGTTTGGAATAAATGTGATAAACAGGACATAACTCAATCAAAGCTTTATTGTGCCGTCTCCATTCAGGGATGTTTCATTATAGCTCAGTAACAGAATAATTTTTGTGGAAACTCAGACTATTGAAACTAAAAATACTCACAGATCAGTAACATTATAATGTTAATATTATATATTTTTTTGTGTATGGAGCTCATAGTATTGCATAAGCTTATATGTTGTTAGACACACGTGGCTTCTTTTTCTGCTGTACCTTATCTCTGCACTAGCAAAGGGCAAGCCTTATGTAAAAGCTTCATAACGATAAAGAAGGTATATCTATAGTCCATTACCTGATCAAAGTAGTATCCTGTTCATTACATTAGCTTGTTGTAGGCAAGCCTTGAGCACTGAGGGTCGATATTAGGGTGTGTTAGGGTGTTGGGTGGAAAAGAAAGGACTTTTGTAGGAAAATAAGCCCACTCAACTTCTTCAGCTAGAAAATCTGTGCTTAGAAATTTATGTCAGTAAAAAAAACAAAAAAAAACAGTAGCAATGATTCCAGATTACCATCTAGAAGTTAGTTATCTTGGCTTTTGGCATTATGACCTGGTATATAGAATCCCTTACCTATAGATTGTAAATTCATGAGCTGTTATGTCTTAACCCACTGGATCCAGATGCCAGCAGTCACATGGCCCAAAATGCAGGCATTAGACTTATGTGGGTGGCTGCTCTGATGGTGTGTTGTTTGTAGACTGGGCGCATGCAAACACTTGTTTGCGATGACAAAACTCTCTGTCTCCCCTTTGCAATGTTATTTTCCCTTTTTATGCATAAGTACTTTTAGTTTTATTGCCATTTTCTATTGTTCATATTTGTCATTTGATCCTTTATCCAGATGGTATTAAACTGTTTATCTAGCATAGAGTCCACGTCATCTCTCTAGGTTGTCCATAACTCAGTGCAAGAATAATAACAATTAGTAACTTTATGTTATTTGTGTTATTTAATTTTTTTTGGATAATATAAAATTTTCCGTAATCCAACCTTTGCCGCCAGTCATGGTGGCCAGAAGTAGGAGGGTGAGCATGGGAATGGCATCCTCCTTGAAGATGGTGCTCCTCCAGTGATGGCTCATGTACACTACACACATTTATTGATGGAGATAATGCAAAAGCCTCTTTCTAAATGCCAAATGTGTCTATTCACCCTCCATGAGGTCTGAACTTGTGGGGAGTCTTTCCTGTGACCCTGGCCATCAGCTGAAATGCTCATGATGGCAAGTTCATGTCACCTGGTCCACAGCCAGATTTTCCCATGATGGCATGTTCATGTCACCTGGCCTTCAAGCCAGTTTTTTTCATGACTTGATGATCATGTCATCTGGATCATAGGAGTTAAGATGCCATTGCCTGAATAGAAAAGCTCAAGCTCAAGTTATTAGATACTTAAGAGAAAAACCATATAGTGTGTGTGTATGTGTGATTTATTAGGTCAAGGCTAAGGAATGTGGAGGGAAGTCCAAAGAGCCCCGGGATTCACTCCATTATACAGAGGTGTCTTGCTCACTGGTCTCTCATTCTCTTTCTCTTTCTGTCTGCCTGTCTATCTGTCTTTTTGGCTCTGTCTGACTCTGTGTCTGTCTGGCTTTCTGCCTCTGTCTGACTCTCTTTCTGTTTCTGTGTCTTTTTCTCTCTATATTTCTCTTTTTCTATCTTTCTCATTTTCTGTTTTCCTATCTTTCTCTTTCTCTCTCTCTCTCTCTGTCTTCCTCTATCTATCTCTGTCTATCTCTTTCTCTATTTGTCTCTGTCTCTCTCTTTCTCTCTTTCTCTCTTTCTTTCTCTTTCTCTTTCTCTTTCTCTTTCTCTTTGTCTGTCTGTCTGTCTGTCTCTCTCTCTCTCTTTCTCTTTCTCTTTGTCTGTCTGTCTGTCTGTCTGTCTGTCTCTCTCTCTCTCTTTCTCTTCTCTTTGTCTGTCTGTCTGTCTGTCTGTCTGTCTCTCTCTCTCTCTCTCTCTCTCTCTCTCTCTCTCTCTCTCTCTCTCTCTCTCTCTCTCTCTCTCTCTCTCTCTCTCTCTCTCTCTTCTTCTCGTCTCTCTTCTCTCTCTCTCTCTCTCTCTCTCTCTCTCTCTCTCTCTCTCTCTCTCTCTCTCTCTCTCTCTCTCTCTCTCTCTCTCTCTCTCTCTCTCTCTCTCTCCCTCTCTCTCATCCCCCCTCTCTCTCATTCCCCTTCTCCCCTCCCCTCTCTCCTTCCCTTTCTCTCCCCTCTTCCCTAACTCCCCTCTTCCCTAACTCCCACCGTTCTCCCTTCCCTCCCTCTTTCCCTTCCTCCCTTCCTTTCTCCATCTCTATATGAATGATATTAAGAACTTGGGTATATACTAATTGTATGATTTTTTCCCCAAGGAATTTTATGTAAATAATAAATATATGAGTTGCATGGATTAATTAAAATATTTCTTTTTTTCTAATATGATCTGCAATCTAATTGATTGTTATATTTATTATTATAACCTGATTATAGTAATGAATATTGCATGTTGGTAATGGTTATAAATATTTTTAAAAAGCAAATTGAATAAATTTGATTCCATTTTCTTTTGTTTTGCATAGTTTGTCTTTCATTTGCCCGCAGGATATTTTGTCTTCTTTTTGTTGTATGACTTTTTCCTCTAACAGTTTGGGCATGGACTGTTTTCATGTAAATTTTGAATGATTGACAGACACTCTCTTCATAAATGACTTGTGTTTCAGAAAATCAGTGCATGTCACAGGGATACAGGTAAAGAAGTATAGATACATATCTTACGAGATTTTGTTTTGTCATATGAAATGTCCCTTCATATGAGACCTAGCTTTGCGTCGGTAAGGTAGAAGTTTTATGTATGTTTGATGTTGTTCACCGTAGCACTTTTGTGATCGATTTGATAAGTAATGCCAAAGATGGTTGGGTAGCTTATTTTTTTTATCCCTGTTGATATTTTTGAGAATCATTGTTGGTAAGTCTGATTTTATATGCAAATTGGTAAATTTTCCTATACGTTGTTTGCTTCGTATCAATTGCAGTTGTAGGAGAATTTCCCATTTTTCTTTGTAAAGGATTTTTGTAGATTTTAAACTTGTGATATTGCTCATGATATCTATACAGGCATTTTGTATTGACTCGGTATTAGTAAATCAGCAAGAAGTATGCAACCTATGAAACTTCTGCCTTGCATCGGTCTAGTTTGAATTTACCATGAGCTTATGCTGTGTGTGTTTTGGACTTGCTACCTATAAGTTTGCTAGTTATTGCCTTGCTTGTAGATTAATGATCAATGGTATATTTAGCTTTCTATTATCCTAGCCTTAAATGATGGTCCTGCTTCCTTTGTAATATTTTTTCCCATGCTCGGTCATGGGATAGGGTTATGTGCCTCCAAAATAGATCTTAACCGACAATAATAAAAAAAAAAAAAAGACTTGAACTACAAGACGAGACGATGATTCTTCCCATTTCTTGTCTTTCATTTTCTCAGCCATTTTCATATTTGCTGCCCCAGTCTTTATTCATTCTCTCAGTCTTTCTGTTTTAACCACATCTTGTTATTTATGTGTCAGGTTCATGATGATTTGAATGTGATGAGGAGCAGGATTTTTATACATGAAGCTAACCTTCCAAACAGCATAGTTAATTTTTAAAAGAGTTATAAAGATATTGACAAATTATTATTATTAATTATTATAAAGATATATCATCAAGATCTCCATAAGAATTTATTAATTTCATAAAGATGAGATGAGCAACTTGTGTGTAATATATTTTCAAGAATCATTTTAATTTTACAATATTTTCTTATGTAAGTTAAATTATAAGAACTTGTTGCTTTGTAGATTCATACAGTCCCCCCCCCCTCCATGTAACAAATTTAGTTGCAGGGTATTGCATTTGTCTTTTCATCCTCATTCAAATGGTATACAGGATATTAATTAAGCTTGGTATATCATAGCTACTGTGTTTCTGTAGCTTATGAAAGTTATTCTTGACTTGCTGAAGGAAAGGAACCCAGTGGCTTTTAAGAGCTTGACTTTTAAAAGATAAAAAGATAAAAAGATTAAAAAAAAAACAAAAAAAATTAGTGTTTGGTGGATTGACTTAATTGTGTGTTGGTTGCTTATCAAAGTTGAACATCTGAAGTGGAACTTGGACTACACATTGGTAATACAGTTGGTAGGAAAAGAAAAAAAAGAAAAAAAAGAAAGAGAGTGATAGAATGATATTGAGAAGCTTTTTTACGAATGCCTGTGTTAATAGTAACTTTTAAACTGTTGTATGTAACTCCATTGAAAGATGATTATTTGTTTTGGAACTGTGGTACTTCAGAGTGGTTCATTTTTATTTCAGTGGTTACTTGAGCATATTGTTTTTGTGAATCGGTTTAACAAGTTTAAAAGGGTGTACTATTTTTTTTTTTTTTAATAAATTTAAAGGATGTATGTCTCTAAAATCTATGATAATTTCTTTATAAAAATAACAAAAGGTAGATGGTAGTCTAAAACAAAAATAATAATAATATAGTCTCCTCATAAAGTTTGAAAAAAGAAAAGAAGTCAATGTTGTCACTTTATAAGACTAAATAGACAAACAGTGTAGTCTCTCTTTAAAAAAAACAAAAAACAAACAAACAAAACATTGTAATGTAGTCTCTTTATATAAAAAAAAGGAAAATCTTAAGTAGTCTCTGTAAAGGACTGTGTCAATTTTGATGCCTGAAGCTTTTTTTGATCTTGGCTGTTACTTATGTTCGCAATATCTTCTGTGGCGTTCCTGTTAGATGTTGCATGCTGCTCCCAGACTCTGCACTTCTACACTGGTAGGTGAACCATTTCTTAATAAGAGATATGTTGAGTTAAGCACGGCCATGTAAGGAGTATGTATTCATTTTCTGATGTGTTTTGTGTTGTTCCGAAATGTCGAGGCTGGTTTTCATTTCATTTTGGTATTTTTGCTCATATTTTATTTTGTATATTTATTTATTTGCATTTCAATGGCGAGTAAGAAGAGATTCTATTTTTTTTTCATGAGTATCAAGGCTTCAAAATGCTTTCGTGATTATTGCTTAACAACTCAAAATTTGACAGTAGTGTTTAACCAGCCTAAAATATGCCATATGATACAAGTATAGAAGAGCTGACTAGATGTGAAGACTTATTTTTCATTATTTTGAAAAGCTGGCTAGTTGTAAAGACTCCTTTTTATTAAGAATTTCAGTGATAAAAGTGTGGATAATGTAGGCCATAGTAATCCATAGTGGCATAGATCTAGCTAGCTTAAAATATTTCAGAGTGTAGTTGCTTAAACTGCATTGCTATGTAGTTGAACAGGAACTGAAAGTGTTGACTTGCTGTCTATTACAGATTATTTCAATGAGACAGAATACAATAAAGCACTTACATTTTCTAAAGACCATTTGTTATGGAAGTAATGAAGGAATGATTTGAAGTGTTACAGATGTCTATCCATAAAAGCAGAATGATGTAAATTATTGTTTTATTGAGACAGATATGTGCCAGTTTTTATAACAAAAAGCAAAACAAACAAAAAACAAACAAACTGTGATATGTATAGTGTTTCCTTTCTATGGTTTTAAAAGAAGAATTTTTCCCCTTTTTATTTCTGTCAGATTTAACAGAGATGTTTAGGGTGATGTAATTAGAAGCATAACTTGTGTTAGTACATCAGGACAGAAAACTGAAGATCACTATGAGTTTTGTCACATTTTTGCAGCAAAAGTTTTTTCTGTATGTTGACAGAAATTTAGGTAGTAGTCATAAATTATTCTTAGGATGTTTTCTTTTGATTAAGGTATTTGCAGGTAGCAGCAGATTTTCAGTAAGTGGGACTAGATAAGATTCTAGACTATGCATGTGTAGATATTATATAAGGAGTCATATGTGCTGAAGGATACAGATCTTCCTATGCAAGTGAGTAGGAATTGAAAACTATAATGTAGGTCTCTGCTACATGATAGATTCAGTTATTCAGGAATGTGCCAGTTGTGTGTAAAGGAAATCTGTTTGCAATGTCTTGCTGCTGTAACCTCTAGAGAACCCAGAGGAGTAATGAGTGATTTTTGCACTGATGATTGTTCAGCATGAAACTTTTTTTTGAGCTTGACGTAGGATATAGATTTCATTGGGGAAGCATGCTGCCATTGCTCCCATTTAGACATTTTTTTTCAGTTTTGCTTATTCTGAGGAATATATATTTGAATTGGATTTCTTAATGGCATCTTGATTCAGATAGGGAGGTTAAGTGAAAACTGAATGCAAAGAACATCATTCAGAGGAGAAAGTTGTTCTGGTACAGTGAGACCTGTTTTAGATCAGGTAGGCAATTGGTAGATATTTACTTAGATTAGATAGATATATATTTGAATCAGACTTAAATCTAGCTTTAAATTAGCACTGTTCTAGTTTCCATGGAGACTCTTCTGGGACTAAGGAATGAACACTTTATCAAACATTCTATGACCTAAAACTAACATAACATAGAACAAGATAATGGTTGACAGTGTATGAAATATCTGCATTTTACTTTGTAAAAATCAAGACATATTAACATTTTGTCAATACTCCATCAGTTCCTGTTCTTGCTTTTAAAGTGGAAATTGAAATGAGCTTCATTTGCTTTTTACTTTGTTATAGTTTAATCATCTAATAATCCATAATGATACATACATATCTGTGCTTGTGAGTGTGAGTGACTGCGAGTGTGAGTGAGAGTGTGAGTGTGAGTGAGAGTGAGAGTGAAAGTGAGAGTGAGAGTGAGAGTGAGCGTGAGAGTGAGAGTGAGAGTGAGCGTGTGAGTGAGAGTGAGAGTGAGAGTGAGAGTGTGAGTGTGAGTGAGAGTGTGAGTGTGAGTGAGAGTGTGAGTGTGAGTGAGAGTGTGAGTGTGAGTGAGAGTGTGAGGAGAGTGAGAGTGAGAGTGAGCGTGAGAGTGAGAGTGTGAGTGTGAGTGAGAGTGTGAGTGTGAGTGAGAGTGAGAGTGAGAGTGTGAGTGTGAGTGAGAGTGTGAGTGTGAGTGTGAGTGAGAGTGTGAGTGTGAGTGAGAGTGTGAGTGTGAGTGAGAGTGAGAGTGAGTTAGAGTGAGAGTGAGAGTGAGAGTGAGCGTGAGAGTGAGAGTGAAAGTGAGAGTGAGAGTGAGAGTGAGTTAGAGTGAGAGTGAGTTAGAGTGAGAGTGAGAGTGAAAGTGAGAGTGAGAGTGAGCGTGAGAGTGAGAGTGTGAGTGTGAGTGAGAGTGAGAGTGAAAGTGAGAGTGAGAGTGAGAGTGAGCGTGAGAGTGAGAGTGAGAGTGAGCGTGAGAGTGAGCATGAGCGTGAGAGTGAGAGTGAGAGTGAGAGTGTGAGTGTGTGTGGTGTGAATGTGACTGCGTGCGTGAGTGTGTGAGTTTGCACACGTGTGTGTTTGTGTTTTGCTTTTTTTTTTTTTTTTTTTTAATTGAATGTGATGTGTTTGTGTAACTATTTGTCTGTGTCTTGTGTGTCTGAGTGTTTGTCTGTCTGTGTCTTTGTGTCATATGTGTCACTGTGGTCATTTGTATCCTTAATTTATCTTTGTTATTAAAGTATCACTTTAGATAAATAGAATTTGTCCCATTAATGTAGTTTGCTTTTTAATGTGCTTGTTGTAAATAGATCTTCATTGGAGAAAGATATATATTTGGTGAGACAGATTTGCACAGTGGAAAATCTACCATTGCAATTATGCATTCAACTGCAGCAACTTTGTCAGAAGGAAACTAGGTTTAGCCGATTCCCAGAGTGAATGAACACAGCCCAACAAACCCCCATACTAAAGAAAATGAAGAAGAAAAAGAAGAAAAAAAAGGAAAAACCCATTTTACAGGTCTAGTCGATACAGTCTTCACCATGGACTCCCTGATCAACCAGCTGGAGGTCGCAGGCGGAATGGTTGAGCGAGCGGAAAGGTACGAGCTGCTGGGCAACCTCTATCGGATTCTCATCCCTATCTACGAGGGGCGACGGAACTACCCGGCGCTCGTCCAGTGCTATTCTCATCTGTATCAGGTGGGGTGGGGCTTTTATCGTCATGTTCACGAGCCTCATTATCATTATCATCATTATCATTGTCATGGTCATTATCGTTATAGTTATCGGTATCGTCATTGTCACCGTCACCGTCATCGTCATCGTCATCACCATCGTCATGTGTAATTGATCCTGTTATTATTATTGTTGTTTTAATTATTGCCACTATAAGTATTATATATAATTGTAGGCTTATTCCCGAGTGGTTGAGGTGAATGCGTCACAGAAGAGACTTTTGGGCCGTTACTATCGTGTGGCCTTCTACGGACCGGTGAGTAACTCTTTTAGTGCCTTTTTGCTGGTAAATTGTTCATGATATTTGCAGTGTATTCATGACTTGCAAAACAGTATACAGGGTTTTATATAAAGGCAGTACGACTTATTCTGTGTGTATATTATGTGTATATATTTTCTTTTCAATTAGTATTATCCATCTGAGGTTTTTATTCTATTGTATTTATTCACTTATCTATTTGTTTATTTATTTATTTATTATTATTTTCTTTTTTGAAGAGTTACTTTGAGGATGAAGCTGGCAAGGAGTACATCTACAAGGAACCCAAAGTAACCTCACTGGCAGAGATTTCAGAGAGACTTTACCACCAGTACTGCGATAAGTTCGGGAAAGAAGCTGTTAAGATGATCATGGATTCTAATTCGGTAAGGAATGTGTTCTATGTTTTTTTTGGGGAAATCCTCAATTTGTAAAATTTGTGGCAGTGTGTATTGTGATTTGGTACGAAGGTCTGTGAAAGTCTAATGAAATCATTATAAGATGTTCTGTTTATGTTAGTGACGAATTAATTAACTTAAAAGTTTATTATTTTTTCTTTGTGCGTGTACTAAAAAGGGTCTTTTGTCTTGATATCCTGTTTTTCCAGAATTAATATATCTTTCTATTTTTAAATTCATCAGAATTACAATTGGGTGTGAAATCAAGCCCTAGACAGAATTATGTTTAATGGATTAAAAGGATCTAATATTTCTCTCTTCTTTTTCTTCTTCTTCTTCTTCTTCTTCTCCTCCTCCTCCTCCTCCTCCTCCTCCTCCTCCTCCTCCTCCTCCTCCTCCTCCTCCTCCTCCTCCTCCTCCTCCTCCTCTTCCTCCTCCTCCTCTTCCTCCTCCTCCTCTTCCTCCTCCTCCTCTTCCTCCTCCTCCTCTTCTTCTCATTCTTCTTGTCCATAGGTTGATGCCGATGAGCTCGAATCACGCTACGCCTACATCCAGGTGACCCACGTCAATCCCTATTTTCCTGAAGAAGAACGGAACAACAGGCAAACGGAATTCGAACGCAACAACAACATCAACACCTTCATGTTCGAGACACCCTTCACCCTAGAGGGGAAGGCCCACGGAAAGTTGGAGGAGCAGTGGAAGCGGAGGGTTATCCTCAAGACGGATTACTTTTTCCCATACGTGAAGAAGAGGATACAGATCGTGGAGACAGAGGTTAGTTTAGGAAAGGTGGAGTCGTAGGGAAGGGTGGGAGGGAGTGAGCATGCTGTCTCCCAAGTGTTTGCTGGAAAGTAACTAGCAAAGATTGTTCAAGGATGCTGTTCTGGATGATTTTTTAAGATTTTTGTTTATTTTGATAAATTAAAAGAGTCACTGACTAACATGAGTTTTGGTATCACGTTTTTATATTTGGCCTTAAGGAGCTGTGGCCCTATCAATATATATATATATATATATATATATATATATATATATATATATATATATATATATATATAATTTTTTTTTTTCTTTTGTTAGGTTTCATATAAGTCATAGAAGAGAAAGAGTGTGTGTGTGTGTGTGTGTGTGTGTGTGTGTGTGTGTGTGTGTGTGTGTGTGTGTGTGTGTGTGTGTGTGTGTGTGTGTGTGTGTGTGTGTGTGTGTGTGTGCGTGCGTGCGTGTGAGTGCGTGCGTGCGTGCGTGCGTGCGTGTGAGGCGTGCGTGCGTGCGTGCGTGGTGTGTGTGTGTGTGTGTGTGTGTGTGTGTGTGTGTGTGTGTGTGTGTGTGTGTGTGGGTGCAGTCAAGAATCAGATTTGTATGCTTAATTATTGTGTTTCACATTCTCTGCCATTTTTTTAATTTATGTAAATTTAGTAAACTTATTTTACCATCTAACATCTCTCTCTTAATACCAGGTGCTAGAAATGTCTCCCATTGAAGTTGCCATTGATGAAATGGAAAGCAGAGTCAAAGAACTGTTGGAAATCATTAATAAACATCCAACAGATGTGAAGAAATTGCAGCTGAAGCTTCAGGTAAGATTCATATGTTTGTGACTGATTATTCATTGATTGATTTAGGTGGTAAACAGGCTATTAATGTGATTTGGTTATTAATTGACCTAATTTATGGTAATTAATTGTAAAATAGAGAGATTAGTTATATTATCATGTGAGATGCAGCTAAAATATTTTTTGATGATATAACAGCCATTAAACAGGTTTGATATATATGATTTAAAGACTGAGTGACCTCATTGGTGGTAAGTAGGAAGGAAATGCAATAATTAGAGTAATTGATTTGATAGGTGATGTACAGGCATGATAATTAAATTGCTTGCCTGGACAGGTAGTAGACACAGAAAGTATGTAATTGCTATCTTGTCTGTTGACAAAATGTGCACAGTTTCAGAGAAAATATATGCAATGCATTCTTGGATTTTTTAGTGCAAACAAATACAAATAATGCTTTTGATTTTTGATACATATTGTGCTTTCACCTCACAGGGCAGCATCAGTGTGCAGGTAAATGCTGGGCCTCTGGCTTATGCATCCACTTTCCTTGAAGAAACAAACTGCTCTTCGTATCCAGTGAACCAGGTGTCTCGGTTGAAGGATGTTTATAGGTAGGTATTCATTTTCTTGAGCATGATACATGTACAGTTAGTTTCTGTGTTTGGAGTTATTTTCCTATGTAATATATGGATTGATGTAGTCTTATATCTGAATGTTCATTGATTTGAGACTCATTTATTATAATAACTATGTATGTGTAAGTATAATGTATACAAAGATGTCTTAGATAATTATTAACCAAGGATTTGTTCTTTACTTATTATTTTTTGATGCCATGCAGAGAGTTTGTGTGTACCTGCAAAGAAGCCCTGGACCTAAACAGCCAGGTCATAAACAGCGACCAATATGAGTATCAGATGGCGCTAGAGAGCAATTTCTCGGAGCTGCTTCAGTCGCTGTCATCGATCCTGAATGAACCACTGCTGGCTGCTCAGATCGCTGTCGACAGTTTGCTGAAGAGGTCGTCACAGCACTACCTGAGTATGATAAGTTCGCCGGGGGGAGCCAGCAATGCATGAGGAGGATCTGAGGAATGATTACATTCGTTTTTACCCTGAAGTTTTAAAGTTTGGTCGGATCTGATGATGGAATCTCAGACTCAACAGTGTGTCTGTCAGTGATATATATATAGTTTTTTTTTTTTTTTTAATATTAGGATGGAATTGTATTTTTAGTTAATGCTACTTATAATAATGTTTTTTAATGGTACACATCAATTTTTTTGTTTTTTCTCTTTATTATTATTTTTTTTGTAAGTAGATGTATTTTTATGGAAACAATACTTTTTCTTTTAGTTCTATGAAAGTATTTCATAATAGCTCCGTGCCATGTATGTATTTAAAAATTTTGCTAGCTTTTTGATGTCAAGATCTGTGCCATTGTGATAACCAGTGACTAAATGTGATTAGGTGTGTAAAGTGTAAGCAGTGTATCATATATTTTTATGTCGAGGGTATTAATGTCTGTGAACAACCCCAGTATATATATACATATATATATATCTTTTTACAAAGACTATGAAATGTAATTGTAAAAGACAATACAGTAGGAAGACTGATTCTAAAATGTTCTTATCTCTCTGGTAGAAATACGCTGTTTTCAT